GCAGAGCAGTGGGGGAGGGCAGAGCAGTGGGGAGGCAGAGCAGTGGGAGGGGGCAGGGCAGTGGGAGGGGGCAGAGCAGTGGGGAGGCAGAGCAGTGGGAGGGGGCAGAGCAGTGGGGGAGGGCAGAGCAGTGGGGGGGCAGAGCAGTGGGGAGGCAGAGCAGTGGGGGAGGGCAGAGCAGTGGGGAGGCAGAGCAGTGGGGAGGCAGAGCAGTGGGGGAGGGCAGAGCAGTGGGGGGGCAGAGCAGTGGGGGAGGGCAGGGCAGTGGGGGGAGGGCAGGGCAGTGGGGGAGGGCAGAGCAGTGGGGGGAGGGCAGGGCAGTGGGGGAGGGCAGAGCAGTGGGGGGAGGGCAGGGCAGGGCAGGGGGGAGTGCTGTGAAGTGCTGTCCCCTGGAAGGCTGGAGCCTTTGCTGTCTCCAAGTCAGCATGGCTGTGGTTTCCTACATGAGATCCTCAAAGACTGGACCCACTCAGTCCTTGTGAAAGGTGACGAGGGCTCGCATGGCCTCCCCTGAGATGGGGGCTTGCTCTTCCTCAGTGGTGCCACTGCTGGTGAATTCCTGTTCTCTTGAAACTGGTTAGAATGCTCCTAAGGGCAAAGTAACCCCACTTCAACTCCTAGTTTCCCCAGCTAGACTTGGGTAGAACTGTCTCTCTCTCCCTCTCTCTCTCTCTCTCTCTCTCTCAGAAGCCCCCATTTACACACTGGCAAACTGAGGCACAGAAAAGGGAAGCATGTCTGACTTTGCACAGCTAGGAAGCAGCAGAGCTGGGATTCAAACATGCTGGTCAGCAGTGGGATATGCATAGCCCGTCATGACCCACCCCGCCCTGGCCCTCTGGGCCAGCGCCCACTTACGGCTTGAGGTCCTGGTCAATGAGGATGTCGTAGCCGTACAGCTCAAAGCAGTGCTTATCGCTGATGATGACCTTCTGCACGCTCTGCAGGCTCTTGATGAAGATGTTGTCCATGTCATGGAAGAGCGTCTCCACCGCCTCGGGACCGTGCTTGGATGCCAGGTACTGCCGGAAGCGCTGGAGCATCCACTTGCAACCCTGAGGCCCAGGCAGTCGGGTTGGGGGAGAGGTCCAGTTGCCTGGGGCCCACCTGATGATCATGAGCCCATTCACAGGGCTCCTCAAGCCTGGCGGGAGGGCTCTATGTGAGCCCTGGGATTAGGAAGCTTGGGTGTGCACTCACTCTAGAGTAGGGATCTACATAGCTAAAATGTCAGGAAATGTCTCTGGGCCGTGGCCTGCAGCTGGCTTCTCCTGGTCGAGTGCACTGGTAGCCTCTTAGGGCCAAAAGGCAACCAGCAAGCTTCTGCTCCCAGGATTATGTGATGTAAGGCAAACCAAGGGGAGGGAAAAGGTGAGAGGAAGTGTGACCTGGGAGCTCACTCATCCACGCCCCCTGGTTTGGCCCTTAACTCTAAGAAGTCTGAGAATTCTATAGACTTTCAGGCTATCATATGGATTGGTGATAAATAGGTGGATGTACATGACTGATAGATAGATAGATAGATAGATAGATAGATAGATAGATAGATAGAT